AAGAATGTAGACCAAAAAGTAGGTCAAGGTGACCTACTTTTGAATTTCTCAAATACTTATTGGCTTAGAATCTTCAATCTTAGTTTGTATATTAATGCATCTTGAGTCCTCAGAAAACTTCAATCTTAAAGTGGGTCAGTGTGACCTACTCATGGTTTTTTATAGCTTTATTAAAATATCTTCAGTCTTAATTGGCTAAGAATCATAAAACTTTTTCAATTGATGCAACTTGGGTCTTAGGATACTTAGGGTTAGAGGCTTCAAATAGAAGTGATAGATTTTACAATTTATCAGAAGAGCGATTCAAGGCCCTTGGGCCTCTTGTTTTATAACTTCAGCGTGTTCTATTATTAAGGCCCCGCTCTGCTTGCGCCCTATAGTGATCAGTCCGTCCGTCAGTCCGTCCATCTGTCCGGCTGTCCGTCCATACGTCTGGCTAGCTGTTCGTCCGTCTAGCTACGCGTCCGTCAGTCTGTCCGAGATCTCTTGTCCGGAGCAAATCTTCTCTCCCCTTGGCCAAATCTGGCTCATACTTCACTCACAGAGTGCCCTAGGGTTACCGATGTGCAGTGACCTTGAACCATGTTTCTAGGTCAAGTCAAAGTCAAAGCAGAATTGTATGAAAAATCCTTGTCCAGATCATACCTTCTCTCTCTTGGCCCAATCTGGCTCATACTTCACCCACATAGTGCCCTTCAATGATTGGTGTGCAGTGACCCTGAACCATGTTTCTAGGCCAAAGATCAAGGTCATAGCAGAATTGTATGAACAATCCTTGTTTGGAGCATATCTCTGCCCTTTGTCCAAGTAGGTTCATACCTATTTCACAGAGTGCCTTTGGGTGAAGGGTGTGCAGTGACCTTGAACCATCTTAAAGGTCAAAGGATAAGGTCATAAAAAAATCTTATCATTATTATTTGAAAAGTCCTTGTCCGGAGCATATCTTCTCTCCCCTTTGTCCAATGTGGCTCATACTTCACTCACACAGTGCCAGTGGTAAATTGATTTGCAGTGACCTTGAACAAAATTTCTAGGTCGAGGGTCAAGGTCAGAAATAGCCTCTCTGTTTAAAATCATTGTTTGGTACATAATTTTTTCCCTTAAGCTGGGTATGTGATTTTCCTACCATATTATGAAAGAGGATACATTTCTTAAAGTTTTTTAATTGTATTATTTTTCAGGGAGTAGTTAATTTTTGTCCCCTTTAATCTCAAACTCCTGCAAAATTAACCCTTTTCAGCTACCTTACATTTTCATGTTCATTGCTAAAGGCGGGGCCTTGGAGATGGCCACCATCTCAATGATATCTAGTTAAGGTCTTCCGTCTTCACGGAAGACCTTATAGTGATTCTACTGTTTCTTATTATTCTTATTATTATTATTCTTTTTTTTGACAAAATTTTGTGCAGGCGATTTCTCGAAAACTATGCAGCGGTTTTTCATGAAACTTTCACAAAATATGTGTCATTATATGAAGTTGTTACGTCCGAACAAAAATTTGGAAAATTCGCTTCTGGTGCCAAGTTGTGGACAATTTCTTGATTTTAAAATGCGATTTTGTCGCGCACTTTTATCGAAAAAGGCTGAAGATATGAACTGGAGACTTATTGGAGATGATAGATCATGACTTTGTGGTCTGCAGAATCACCTTTTCGTGCGTCGTCATTACTTCCGGTCGTTACGAGGTGTACATTGAAAAAAAATGTATTTTCAAATTTTTTTGTTTTTCAATATTTTTCATTTATTTTTGGTATGTTAATAGAGACCCTTCTTATAATGCTTACTATATAATTTGTTTGAATATTGATAAATCTTACTCCAGATATAAGCATTCGAAAATCTGAAGCGGGTCCAAAATGGCGGCTGTCTCCGGTATTTCGCAATGGGGCAGCAGAGCGTTTGCTTAAACGAAAGTAACATAAGGATAAATGAAATGTAAAGGAATACTTGGATTGTCATGTCGTTGTTACGTTGCAGTTCTCTGTCAGACTAACGTCTCCTATAATTGGTTTTGGCTGGTTTTCAAAATAGAAAAAGAAAAGACTAAATGTGCAAATGAAATTTGATACCTAATATCTTTTGTGCATCACGGAAAAACAGATCTTAATCATACTTTTAAGTAATACTTTCTCAAAAAAGAATATCAAGTTATATTTTAAGTTTAAATCTTAACCACTGTTTTTTTTTCTATTCACACTTGTTTCATATTAAACTAATAAATAAGACAAAAATAAGAAAACAATTTTTTTAAAGATCGCTCCACGGAGTTTATTTTAGCATTCTTATCTCAAAGACCTGATTCAAGTTATACAGCATAAATGATATCTGATTCCTTGACCGTCGTAGGGCGAGTCATGTTTTTCGGCGAAACGTTTCAACCTTTTTCGTTTAACTAATCGGGATAGTTCACTTTGGGAATAAACAGGAAATTGAAAAAAGTTAAAAATTCATAACCGTTTCACCGCTTTAGTGTTACATGCATATATACAATATGGAATTTGTAAAATATGTTAAATATACTTTCTAATCCTTGGATCTACGGATATTTTTAATTTCACTGAAGCTATCACACCTTTTTGATAGAACATTCCAGAGAAAAGCCGCAAAGATTAACTCCTAGCGTTTGGTGCTAAATTTTGAATATTGAACCGCCTTTCATAATTTTAATAGAGAAGCACTGTTTTGTTAATACATACAAGTAGATTTAGAGTAGAGGTCCCGATAGCGTAATATTTAGTGCGTTGGTATTTCATGCTGGCGACTTGGGTTCAATCCTCCCTGTGTGCAAATTTTTTTTACTTTTTCAGATCGATTTAACGTTTTCTTTCCGGAATCGGACGGAAGACCTCTCGTTGCTCGCAACGAATTTCAAATCTAGTTGTTATTATTATTATTAGTAACATTTTATAAAGCGCACAATTTTACAAGTAAAATGTAATCAAAGGCACTGTACATACATAAAAATTTAAATGATTTTAAGAAAAATTACAATTACAAAATAAAATGCCATAAAGTTATTCCACTGTAGATAAACAATATAAAATAGAGAGAGTCAAACAAACATTAAAAAGTTAATTAAATGCTCTTTTAAAATAATATGCTTTTAAATGTCTCTTAAAAACATTAAAATCATAGATGGTTCTGATGTTGGAAGGCACGTCATTCCATACGGTAGGCCCTGATATAGCGAAAGACCTGGAGGCAAATGTTTTTCATTTTACAGCTGGGATGGTGAGAATTTTAGCTAGTTCATCGATGGAGCGATTTGTTATACGGTGAAGATCTAATGCTCAGCATTTCACGCAGACATGCGGGACTGTCGCTATTATTTAGGCACTGATGGATAAGACATGCTATTTTGAATTTAAGTCTATCAATAACGGGGAGCCAATGTAGAGTTTTTAGAGCCTTTGTGGAACTGTCTGTTGATTTTAAATTCAACACTAATTTGGCTGCTCGGTTCTGCAGTAACTGTAATCGTTTGGTGGTACATTTCAGCAGGTTGTATAATAGACTGTTTGCATAATCCAGGTGACTTATTACAAGAGACTGTACAAGCTGTTTACATGAATCGACGGTTAAGTATTGACGAATATATCTGATGCAATAAAGATTCGATGCAATTTTCTTACATTTTTCACTGACAAATTTTCTAAAGCTTAAATGTTCATCCAAATAACATCCTAGATATTTAATACACGGAAGTGCACAAACATTTGCACCAACCACATAAATGGATTTGGTGGAAGACATTGATAACATTTGTTGACTTCTAAACAAGATAAATTCCATTTTACTTGGGTTAAGTTTGTAATTGTAATTTATTTATTGCTCAGGATAAACATCCTATGGCATATAACAAAATGTACAATAATATTTACATAGGAAATGAACATATGATGGAAAAAAGTCACAATGATACTGTATAACAGGGATCCTATAACTGTCCTTTACAGATTTACAAATGTAATAAATACATTATGCATGTAAAGTTTACATATACATATAAATTATTGGCAGTTCCTTATTTCAAAAGCTTTTAAAATATATTTTCCAAGATTACAGAGTTTTTTGACATTATTAACACTAATAAGCTGTATAAATTTAAACACAGAGGGTTTACTCCAATAATATTTCTTAATTAATTTTTTTCTCAAGTCTACGTATTTAGGACATATAAGTATAAAATGATATTCATCCTCTATATCTTTATGTGATTTACAAATTGGACAAAATCTTTGGTCTCTTGGGATATTTTTATGCCTACCAGTTTAAGTCTGTTTAAATTCATCCAGTCATTAATTTCGGATAGGACGGTCTCCAAATTTTTTAATACCCGATGTTCGTCATCTTTGGCCTTTGGGTTAAAGCTGTCATACACTGAGTGGTCATCTGTATAGCCAAGTAGCAAAATTTCATAATCCTCGATGAAACTTTGTAATGAACTAGCGTAAACTGTATAAAGAACTGGGCCACATATACTACCTTGTCGTGCAGAGAAATCCAATTGTCTAGGTTGTGATTTTGACGTATTTATATGGACTTCTGCTGTCCTAGAGGAAAAGTATGTTTTAAGCCAATCAGGTGCTGAATCTGATACCCCAATGTTGGTTTGTAAAACATTCCCAAGTATACTATGGTCCACAGTGGTCGACAGTGTCGAAGGCAGCTGAGATCTAATGCCACTTCAGTTGTAACATGTTGTTTTTCTAATTTTCCAAAGGATATCAGACACGAGTTTAAGAAGGGCAGTTTCTGTACTAAACCCCCTCCCGTATGCACTTTAACATAATCTGTTAGTAATGCACAGGAATCCAAGATTTGGAGTTGTATCTATATCAAATCTGCTGTTATAGTTGACCTGTATCTAAAAGCATGAAAATGCCCCTCTACTTCCAGTGAGATATTTCGCATTACAATGTTCAACTCTCATGAGTACTTTCAGTACTTTGATTTTTTTTTTTGGAATTAGTACTTTTCATATTGTTATATTTTTCCAGCACCAGTTACCTCAGTGACCCTGACACCAGCCCAGATAACTGTGGATGCTGGTAAACAGATAACTCTAACCTGTCAGACAGGTTACTGTAACCCAGCAGCCAACATCACGTGGTACAAGGACTCAGCTGACGTCACCAGTCAAGCTTCATCCTCCATGGACATTGATAGCAATAGCCTTGTGAGAACAACATCAGTACTACAGTATACAGGTGTGGCAGGGGACAATGGTCAACAGGTGTACTGTAAAGCCACCAACGGACCAGGAAACAACATAGAATCAAATGAATGCATACTGCATGTAAGATGTAAGTACTTAATTGTTGTTGCTGATATGTACAAATATTACTCATTAAAAAATGTGAGAATTAGAACCATTGCACACTTGCTGGCCTGATGAGTTTATGATTAACGAAAGTTTTTAGCTCAAAAAAGCAAATAGTTTTTAGCTCACATAAGCCGAGGGCTCAAGTGAACTTTTCTGATCACATTTTGTCCGTCGTCCGTCCGTCTAGCTGTCTAGCTGTCTGTCTGTCTGTCCGTCTGTTAACTCTCAAGAACCACTAGGCCAATTTTGACCAAACTTGGTATAAAGCATCCTTGCATGAAGGGGAATTTAAATTTTTAAAATAAAGGCCAAGTCCCCTCACAAGGGGAGATAATCAGGAAAAGACAAAAATAGGCTGGGGTCATTTAAAAAATCTTCTTCTAAAGAACCACTGGGCCAGAAAAGCTGAGACTTACTTGGAAGCATCCTGGGGTAGTGTAGATTTTAAATTGTTCAAATCATGACCCCTTTGGGTTGGGCGGGGCCACAATGGTGAATCAAAGTTTTACATAGAAATATATAAGAAAAATCTTTAAAAATCTTCTTCTCAAGAACCACTAGGCCAGAAAAGCTGAGATTTATATGGAAACATCCTGGGGTAGTGTAGATTCTAAATTGTTCAAATCCTGACCCCTAGGGACTGGGCGGGGCCACAATGGGGAGTTAAAATTTTACAATTTTACAATTGGGAATCAAAGCATCCTATGGAAGTGTGAATTTCAAATTGTCTAAATTATTATCAATGGACTAAAGTTGGGTCAAAATATGTATGACATGGGGGAAATCTTGTAAGGAACGGAATGGTCAAAGTTTCTCAGGTGAGTGATGTGGCCCATGGGCCTCTTGTCCTCTTTAGCTAATCTTAGTTGAAGGCTCAAGTGAGCTTTTCTGATCACATTTTGTCCGTCGTCCGTCCGTTCGTCCGTCCGTCTGTAAACTTTTCACATTTTTGACTTCTTCTCAAGAACCACAGGGCCAATTTTGACCAAACTTGGTTCAAATCATCCTTTGGGGAAGGGGTATTTAAATCGTAAAAATGAAGGGCCAAGTCCCTTCACAAGGGGAGATAATGAAGAAAAGACAAAAATAGGGTGGGGTCGTTAAAAAATCTTCTTCTCAAGAACCACTGGGCCAGAAAAAGTGAAAATCATGTGGAAGCATCCTTGGGTGGTGTAGATTCTAAATTGTACAGATCATGAACCCCAGGGGTAGGGCGGGGCCACAATCGGGAATCAAAATTTTACATAGAAATATATAGGAAAAATGTTTAAAAATCTTCTCAAGAGCCACTGGGCCAGAAAAGCTGAAACTTATGTGGAAGCATCCTGGGGTAGTGTAGATTCTAAACTGTACAAATCATGACCCCCGGGGGTCAGGCGGGGCCACAATGGGGAATCAAAATTTTACATAGAAATATATGGGAAAAATCTTTGAAAATCTTCTCAAGAACCACTGGACCAGAAAAGCTGAAACTTACTTGGAAGCATCCATGGGGTAGTGTAGATTCTAAATTGTACAAATCATTATCCCCCCGGGGTTGGGCAGGGCCACAATTGGGAATCAAAGTTTTACATAGAAATATATAGGAAAAATCATTGGAAAATCTTCTCAAGAACCACTGGGCAAGAAAAGCTGAAACTTATGTGGAAGCATCCTGGGGTAGTATAGATTTCAAATTGTCTTAATTATGAGCAGTGGGGTAGGGGAGGGGTCACAATATGTATTACAGGGGGGGGGGTCTAGTAAAGAACAGAATTGTCAAAGCTTCTCATGTGAGCGATGTGGCCCATGTGCCTCTTGTTTTGATTGATGAATTTAATTTTAATATTGAAATGTACATTTAATGAAAGATTTCAACATGAGCATTACTGGAGAGTCAAAATTTGTCGAATTGTGTATCAGGTGCATCAAAATTGAAACCGTATTTGATTTACACTTTAGAAAACAACGAAATTATACAATGTATATTGAAAATTCTACTACGATTATTGCCGAGATCAAAGAAATTTTACAGACATTACTGTAAATCACTTTTTATTCGCTAGAATTTTATTTTCGTGTAATTATGCGAGACAATGTGCTCGAAAAAATTGAATTCTCGCGTATAAAAGCATTCCTCAAGATTATATAGAGCAATAACCACAATTCGTGAAAATTTTGTCTTGCTAATCATGAGTCAAGGACAATCTCTCAAATATAAGATGTCATGACAAATTTAATGATCTACAGTTTTCTCCTATAAATCACGAACGTCATCAAAAAATTATTATGTTCCCCAAACGAAGTTGGGGAACATATTGTTTTTACTCTGTTTCTTCTTCTTCTTATTATGTTCTCCAAACGAAGTTGGGGAACATATTGTTTTTACTCTGTTTCTTCTTCTTCTTATTATTATTATTATAAAGGTCTTCTGTTTCAGACGGAAGACCTTATAGTGATTCTACTGTTTCTTTTTAAGGTCTTCCGTTTCAGACGGAAGACCTCATAGTGATTCTACTGTTTCTTTTTATTATTAAGGTCTTCCGTCTTCAGCGGAAGACCTTCTTGTTATTCTTCGGTTTCTTTTTCACTTTTTTCTTACCTATTATTATTTTTTTTTTCTTACCGATTTTGTGCACACGATTTCTCGAAAACGGCTCGATGGATTTTAATGAAACTTTCAGGACTCATGTAACATTACTTGAACTTGATTCCTTTTTTTCGTTTTGATGACGTCACTTCTGGTCCGGAAATATTGGCGATTTTATGATTTTTGAAAGGTCATGTTGTCTGCGAACATTCTAAAAAATGGCTTTAGATAGAAACGTGAAAATTTCAGGCATGATAGTCCTAAGTCTATAGATGTGCAAAATGTATTTCATCGGAAGTGCCGCATGTTGGCGCTCGCTAGGGCCCGAAAATTGTCATATCGTGAATTTCAAAATTTTTACCACCTTTTCTATGATATCTTTTTACCTGGAAATATTTTAATAAAACATATAGAACAAAAGAAGTGTAGAATTCCAAGATCTTTTAAACGATATCTCGAAAAAAGGGCTGGCCCTTAAAATTAAGGGCCTAGAGGGGCCGAAAGTTTTTCCTTTATATCTCAAAAAGTATTAAAAATTTGTAATACGTCAAAGAAGCAAAGTTGTTCAAAATGTCAAGCTTAAGCTACAAGGGTTATCAAAATAGGTCCAGTGACGTCACTTCCGGCCAAACCGGAAGCAGTCGGAAAACGCGTAGATTTGCAATTCTTGACAAGTTTTTGGGTAACATATGTCATTGGAAGCCTAAAACCTAATTTTCCGTCCGTTGGTGGCACTTCCGGTCAAACTGGAAGTAGCCAAAAATAGCTTATTTTTGAAGGTTTTGACGCAAAAGTTGATATTATAAAGTCAAAGGAGACGACTTAGCTCATTGCTTTCTTTTGTTGATGTAACTTCCGGTCAAAACAGGACGGAAGACCTACTCGTTGCTATGCAACGAGCTTTGCTCTAGTCATTATTATTTTTTTTTCCCTTTTCTTTTTTTGACGATTTCTCAGAGATGACTAGACAGATTCTTATGAAATTTTCAGGGATGATATAGAATGAAAATATCTTTCAAATGCAGTTTTCAGTTTTTCACTTCCGGTCGTCAGATATGTCCAATTTCCGTTTTTTTCAAAAAAGTTTTGTCCGAGTCATATCTCAGAAACGGTAAAAGATTAAGATACCAAACTTAAAGGAGTAATAGATCATGATAAGCAAGCAAAGCCAATTGGGTAAAGATCATCCGCCGTCACTTCCGATTGTCACAGGAAGTGATAAAAAAAATCGGAAATTTCAACTTTTCTTTATGAAACTCTTTTTACATCACATTATAGTATCTCATTTGTAGTTGCAAAATATGTCAGTCCCACCGGAAACAAAAACGACGACTTCCGGTTTTAAGAGAAAAACTACAAAATTTGAGTATTTTTCTTTCCCATAAATATTTTTTATAGATAAAGTATTTGTAATGATTTTTGGATATGTTATTCAGACTGCAAATGTCTACAGTAACGTCAAATATCTTTGTAAAATTCACTTCCGGTCGCATGATTTCCTGTCCTCAAAATGAGAACTTATCATAGCTAGATCTCGTAAAAGGAAAAAGATTAAGACACCAAACTTATACAATTGGTAGATCTTGCTGAGTAGGCAAATTCAGTTTGGATAAGATTGTCCGCCGTCACTTCCTGTCACAGGAAGTGTTCCAAAAAATCAAACTTTTCAAATTTTCTTTTATGAAACTTTTTTGGCACGACGTTATAATATCTTATTTGTATTTTAAAAATATATCAGTCCAACCGGAAACAAAAACGTCAACTTCCGGTTTTAAGAGAAAAACTGCATAATTTTAGTATTTTTCTTTCCCCTAAATATTTCTTATACATGACATATTTGTAATGATTTTTGGATATGTAATTCAGACTGCAAATGTCTACAGGAAGGTCAAATATCTTTGTTAAATTCACTTCTGGTCGCGTGATTTTCTGTCCTCAAATTGAGAAGTTATCATAGCTAGATCTCGTAAACGATCAGAGATTAAGGCACCAAACTGTTTCAAGTGGCAGATCTTGATGAGTAGGCAAAACCGATTGGGAAAACATTGTCCGCCGTCACATCCGGTTGTCACAGGAAGTGATCAAAGAAATCGAAAAATTCAACTTTTCTTTATAGAAACTTTATGCATCACATTATAGCATCTTATTTGTAGTTTTGAAATATGATAGTATCACCGGAAACAAAATCGACAACTTCCGGTTAAAAGAGAAAAACTACATAATTTGAGTATTTTTCTTTCCCATAAATACTTTTTATAGTTAAAGTATTTGTAATGATTTTCTGATATGTTATGCAGACTGCAAATGTCTACAGTACTGTCTAATATCTCAGTAAAATTCACTATCTATAGACTTAGGACTATCATACCTGAAATTTTTACGTTTCTATCTATAGCCATTTTTTTAAAAAA